ACTCAGGCATATATAATAATTTAAACCACCAAAGGGCACATTCTGCAAGTCTGCCTCCTGGCCGCCAGCTCTCAGTCCCTCTCTTCCCATGAGTCCTCAGCTGTTCCCTCTCTCCATGTCTCCATCTCTGCCTCCATCTCTGGCGTTACTGCTTCTCTGGATAAGGTCCCGCATTCCGCTTGTGCTTTTCTCCCTTGATGGTCCTAGGGTCCTCTGTTGCTGGACAGTAAGATTAACTGCTCCCCCGTTTTTGTTACATAACTTCTACTTTTACAATCATGACAGTAGCAATTAGTCATGATAACAGTAGCTCACTATTGAATCCTAAGAATCTTATCCCCATCTCTTTTTACTAGACCCATCTAGACAAGACGAAAAACTATTCAGTGGGGTCTCTATCTTCCCCCACACACTCTTAAACCAAACTCCTTCTTGAAACCTTGTAAGTCAGTCACTTCTAGCCATCATCACCCCCTCATTTTAGGTAGCCAATGTCTAAGTTGCCCGTCCCTATCTACCCTGTGTACAGAGGGGATAGCATTGATACTTGATATGAAGACTCCTTCCCTCTTTGTTGATATTTTGAGCTACTACCTCCATGAGTATAGGTCAAGTTAATCAAATTACAGCAATGTACACTCATTTCCTTTATCAAAAATTATGGTTTTTTATCTTCCTCTAGTCGAATTCTGATTATCAAGCCATCGAGGCTATGTCAGATGGGTACTGTCTGCAAGTTTGGGTGATCTTGTGCATCTCCCCTCACTTCGTATCTGCTGGATACTTCATTGTCAGCTCTAGCCCTCTGTGGCTATGTCCTTGTCCATGGGCTCAGGTGTCCCAGGTCTCATCACACTTTGGACCAATCACACCTTCCTCTTCTCTTTCTCATCTCCAGGTCAACAGGAGTCTATGGAACGTGGTTGAACTCAGCCCATTTCTTCATTGCTGGCTTTCCCCCTCTTCCAGTAGAACAATGTGGTTGCCAGCAAGCTTACATGCAGGCTCATGTGTTCCCTTTCAGTTTCAATCTTAGAGAGGGATTTGTTCTGAAGGGACTGATTGCTTGCTTTGATGGCTTCCCAATGAACAACCTCTTTCCTTCTTCTTCTTTTTTTTAACTTAAGGTTTTTATTGTGGATTGAGTGTAAGTTTACAGGGCACATCATCAGTTTC